TCACGTGTCACTGATCGTAACACATGTTCCATCATTATATTCAGTGACATGTTGCTGAATATTAAATGTCAAGATTAGACTGGCCGGCGGGACCATGAATTTCACATTTAATCCCATTTGATCTGGTCTCATACATTTCTTGGTGTGAGTCCCACCAGGACCAAGCCTCAAAAAAATCTGAAAATGAACTATTTCTGAGAGAAATGATGTGAAAAATGACCAGATTTAATTCAAGAACAGTGAAATGAGAGTAATTTTTCAGAATAAACTGTGAAAGATGATTATTCTTTCAAAATCAGAATAAGACTAAGACTGAAGATTAAAATCAGTCTCATTTAATTCATTCAGTGATTACTTATATAATCAGAATTTAGTAATAATTATTAATAACACTCATGAAATAACTAAATATATTCTTTGTACAAGTTTATTCTTTACTTTTTCATGAAAACTATACTTCTCTGATATACTGTGATCAGAGGTATTAAACTGTCTGATAATTTCATATTTTATAATTATGAGTTTCTTGATTATTTCTTCTTATAATTATTCTCAGTAATAGTAACAAATATTTTAACTTGAGTTGAACTTTCACTTCATTCTCATCTCTGTTAATGAAATTATTAGAATATTATATATCATCAGTGCAACAGTTGAATATATACTTTTAACAATTTTTCATAACTCTAGAATTGATTTTTAATTGCAATCAATATATACAAGTTCTGTTTTAAAGTTAGTATTATAGTTCTATATAATATGAAGTGTTATCAAAGATTGTTACTTACTAGAGAATTGTATTTCACTGTCTTCATATCTTGAATATCTGCTCATTCAAATCTCTGATAGTTAGTATTGTAGTAGTCTTAAACTAATTTAATATATAAGTCTCATTTCTTCTCTATTCAATCTTGAGAAGTGTAGATATTAACTTAATAAGAGAAATCTAGTAAAGCTGTTATAGTATAGTACTCTGTAAAAGATTGTTCTATTTTACTGTAGTAATATATCAGTTTATTTCTTACAGTAATAATAGCCTGCACTATAGTATCATCTCAGACTGAATTTCTTTTTGAGTAATTCAACTGCTTCTCAAGATAAGTAAATAAACTGTTATACACTTATCAGACTGACTGCAGTATTAATATATAAGTAATTAAGACTGTCTTTGTTATCTTATAAAACTGAAACAGTAAATTAATTACATATTTCAACTAAGTTCACTTTATATCAGAAAGTTTTAATATCTGAATCTTTTTCTAATCAGAGTATTGTACTCAATAATTAATTATCTGATATAATTAAAGAGTCTGAATAGTTATCTTATATATTAAACTTTACTATATTCTAATATTCTATATTATATTCAGTGATGTGACTGATTTATTTATTTATTAAATATCATGAAATCATTATTATTATTTAGAAGAGATATAAATCACATTAGTAATATTTCAAATCTATGATATTTAAATTATTAGTCAATCTATTCAAAATTAACAGTAGTATTATTAAAAAGCATTATTAAAAAATAATATTAAAAAGTATTATTAAAAAACATTATCTTTTGTAAAGTGAATGTAAAAGTTACTTAAGTAATCACTTTCATCTCATTCTTATCTTAAGAATCAGTCATCTTATTATTGTTTATCTCAATATTAAGATTCTTTATCAGTGTTTA